AGATCCTGAGGAGAATCACCTGGTTGGAGAATGTAAGGAAGTTATGGTGGATCTTGATGAAATATCTTCGTCTTGATAAATGATCAGAAGTTAAAGAGTTCACTTAGGGGGAAATTTTTGAATCATTTAAAGTGACCTTCTTGAACTTCTCCGTACCGCAGTCAGCACCGCAGCCGCAACCCAAATTCTCTACTTCAGCCATCCGCAACCGAAGTCTAAGGAACTGCACTCTTGATTTTTGTACTTAGTCTTTATTGTCTTATCACTTTTATCTCTATTGTCCAGTAGACCTTGCATGGCTACTCATAGAGAACTTTTGCTGTAACTCTTACATCTCTATAAATAGAGACCATGCTCATTGTATCAAATACCCATCTTCACTCTCTAATATACTTTCTTTGGATTTATCCTTTCTATCTCTTTCTTATTCAACAATATTACTTACGAATTACATAGAAGATTACAATTACTCTTCAAAGCAAGTCTTTGTGACTTAATCACTAAGTTGGATCTCACTCACTAACATTGGTTTGAATGCATTCCATGTTATTTATCAACTTATGTGTATACTTGATATAACAAATTGTTGTCATTTATTTTTCTTTACTTTCCTCATCTAACTATGTAACCTTTTAACAATCTAACATAATATTATTGTTGAGCTTATATATCCTCTGAGATTAACTATCCTGCTAAATACTTGTTCTAACTTTTGTTCAAGTATGTCTCAAAGTTTTTCTCTCATCAATGTGCTTGCTTGAGATTAAGTGCGTTGTGATTTATGTATGCTATGTGATATTAGACCAGACCGGAGGATCCAACGACTTATGAGCCTGAGGGTCCTCAACCAGACCGAACTAGAGGGTCCAATGATTTAGACCAGACCAGAGGGTCTAACGAGCTAGACCGGACTGGAGGGTCCAATGAGCTATAGGAGTGGAGGGTCCCGCTGAGATACATTGACTGGAGGGTCTTACCGAGTTATATCCTCGAGTCGCTTATGTGTTGTATGTGGTATTTTGGGGAACTCACTAACCATTTATGCTTATCGTGTTAAGTGATATGTGTTTCAGGTACTACCATGAGTACTAGATCAGTGGATTGGGCAAAACATTGTGAGATTCTGTGTGGTGTACCAAGGTATCCGAGTATGATGTCCTTATTTCTAGATTATTCTGAGGACTGAATTAAGAGCTGGCAGGTGGTGTAGCATGTATTGATGGTTCCAGTGGGAGCACTTTGGCTAATTGATGGTAAACGAAATTATTTAAGAATGAGGATTGTAGTGCGAAAAGGAGTTTGTCATGTCAGTTGCCGTCAGGAGTAGTGACGCTTACTTTTGGATGGGTAGGTGCGCACCTATTTATGTTGGGCCGTGGAATGTGGGTTAGTGGATGCAGTGTGTGGCGTCGACTTGAGGTTGAGACCGTGGGTGTAAGAGAAAGTGATGTAAGGCTGCAGGGAGCTGCAACATCCATGAGATAGTAAGAGGGTGTGGTGATACTGCAAGGAGCTGTATTATTCACCAGCAAGTCAGTGAGAGGTTGTTGTGATGCTGCAGGGAGCCGTAGTACATTACTGTTTATTATCTGATGTTTTAGACTTGTGTAGGCGAGATGAGATTCTGGATTCTGAGATGGGTTCCATGTTGAGGGGTATTGTTGGTCATATGATTTTTTAGACCTATGTAGGTCAGTACTCGAGTACGGGAGGTTCCACGAGATCATGGAACTATGAGCAGTAGACGACAGAGGTTGGGGTTGAGTCGATCTTCAGTTGGAAGTGTAGCATTCGCTTGGGGTAAGGCGAACATCGTGACTTGTGTGTCGCAATGGGCTGGTGTAGTTTTAGTGAGAAGGAAACCATTGAGATGGTTGGGTAATGCAATGGATGACCTAGGAAGTTCAAGTGTTGGGTCGAGATCAGACCTGGTGCTCGGTGTTAAAAAGGGATATGAGGAATGGAGCTGAGGCTTATGATTTTTAGATGTATGAGGACACTTTGAGCGATCACAATTATTCTCTCGTGTCTAGGGGCAGAGTGTTGAGAATTCATTGTTTGGATGGGTTCTGATAGTAGTTCAGTGAATGAGCCCTGGTAGGACGTGAACCGTTCCGTTTCTTGGGGCGAGAATCAGATCGTTGTTATGTTTGGTGTGAGTGATCAGTAGCTGATTGTTGGATTTTGTCTAGAGAGAATTAGAGGGGCAGTGATTTATCAGGGTTTGTTATTCGAGGAGCAAATAATGTAGTGATATCTTGAGTGGGCGGTCTGGCGGCGGGCCAGGCCACTAGAGCTTCCAGATTTTTGGGAGGTCTGAAAGGGGGTATCTTAGCGAAAGAAGGGTCGGTTTTGTTCCGGATTTGGGAGTTCCAGTTTGGTTTCATGTGTCCATAGAAAAGATATCGGTGGGGTATAAGGCCCTTTTCAGTGGTGTTTTCCGAGTTATAGGTTCGAATCATGTGTGGATGAAGAGCGATTTCGGGGGTGAAATCAAATTAAGTGTGGGATAATTGTATCATCCGGATTTCCTGGTATGGTAATTTGAGTATTTATTTTTTGAGATATGAGGAGTGACTCGACGAGTTGACACCTCAACTCGTCGAGTAGGTTCACAACTGATGACTCGGATTAATGAAGGGACTCGACGAGTCAGTGAGTCGACTCGACGAGTCAGCACTATGGACAGAAACCCTAAATCTTTGGGCCTGTGACGTATTTAAAGGTCCTTATGGCCTTCATTTGTAGCCACACACACACTTGAGATACCCTATCGAACCAGCGAGCATAGAGAGAGAGATAGAAAGGGAGCTAATTACATCACTTTAGTGCATTCTTGCAAGGAAGAAGGAGGGGATTCGAGCCAAGCTGACTTGAGGGACTTAGATCTTCTACCAATTCATCAAGGTTGTTGCTTGAGGTATGAATCCATGCCTATTTTCATATGAATAGTAGATCTCTTGAACCTAGGGATTCTTTACCCCCTTTTTACACTACTAGAAAACAACCTTTTAATGATGCGCAAACAATGGCACTCACTGATAAAGGACGCGCATTTGTGTGTGCCCTAAAAAATAATGTCAGTTTTGCAAAATTTGAAAGATAGAGGGCACGTATTTTTGCGTGCCCTAAAAATAGTGTCCAAAGAAAAAAAAAATTAAAAACACGGAGGGCGCCTATCATAAAAGAGCGTGTCATCTAAAACTATCGCTTTATAATTTTTTTTGGCGGACGCACGCTCTTCCATGTTTTTAATTACCAAGTGGGGGGAATGAAATACCGATAAAAAATTGAAAACCCCGCCTGATACTCTCTTCCTTCTTTTTTGTATTTTGTAAAATCATCTTCCAAAAAAACCCTAAAAGGATTGTGTGGCTGTCGATCTTTCTCCCTTTTTGGAGCTCTGCAGCCATACGGAGGTCAACGACGACAACTATCCTATTTTCTCCACCATTTTATGCCCCTAAGTCATCTTTATTTCCCTAATAGTGTGCCCTAAGAATTATAAGTATTACTATGGTTTTCAGCCATTCGATGCTTCTTCAGATGGCATCTCACAAAAAAAACTCCATATTTATCATTTTCTGCCGATTCTTCATCCCTCCCCCATTCTCCTACGCTCCTCCATCTTCTCCCAACGTTCACCTTCATGATTCTCTCACCCCACATTCAGCGATTCTCTCCAACAAATACCAGGTAAAACTTAATTTCATGATCTTGTGAACAAGAAAGTCAAGTGGTCATCTTCTTCTTCTTCTATACCATAAATATCGTTCACAGTCACTCTCATAAAACTGATCGACTGCCTCAAATGCCTTCATCTAAGCCACCCGTTCATCCAAATCGCTAGCAAGTAGGTCTTCTCTTGCTCTCTCAAATTATTAGTCAATCGATTTATCGCCATCACCTCCGTATACGCGCTGGAGTCTCTTGGATTGGAAATTTCTTGATACTTCGATAGCTTTTAAACAAACAAAACTCAGTTTTTCTCTTAATAATCCCTTGGATTTTTCATTGGTGTTCCCCTTACTGGCTTCGATAAACTCTCTAATTTGTGAGGTTTGTGTTTACTTTCTCGCCGTCCCTCTCTCTAAGAAGCAAACGTAGCCTCGTCGCCTTCAATCACCCAACGGCATAGGTGAAACTCAAACTTCTCAGACCAAAATATGATCCACCACAAAGAAAGATACGGAGAAACTGAAGGTTGTTATATGACTAAAGAACATATGTAAGCGGATTTTCCTTAGTTTTTTATGCCATTGGAGGTAAATCTATATCTCTTTATGTTCAATTCGTTATAATAGTTGACTTTTTTTCCCGTGTTTTACTGTTCGTGGGTTATGTTTTATGCAGGGTTAATTAACAATATGGACCAAATTTTCTGGTTTGATTTTTTTGCTAGGAAAGGGTAATTTAGGGCTTTTAGCTTGGATTTGTATATGACAACGATTTTATGTGTATGAGTTGTAGAAGCGATCTATATGGCAACTGTAGAGTCTGTCTTGCTTGGATCCTACATATTCAGATTAAATCGACCCATGGAATTAACATCAAGGTTCATTGCAGGACCATCACCTGGCATACATAAGGAGCGTTCATAAATACTCTGCTGAAGTCTCTGTTGCATTAAAAGATTCCGCTCAAAATAACTCAACTCATCTAAGGTAGTCTCTGTTGTTGCTGATAAACATCTAAAGGGCTGAGGCCACTGGAATTGACTCGGTAAATCCCACTAGCACTTCTTAGAGTAAAGCAATTGGTATTGGGTAATTCGAGTAGGTAGACTCTTTTTCTTTTGTGATAATTTCTTAGAGTAAAGCTATTGGTGCTTTGAGATTTTGAAAATATAAATTTGTATTTGTGGTTGTGCAGGTGACTAAGGCTGGTGAAATTGGGTCATTGACTATGCCTTATTGCAAGGGGGGTTGATTTTAGATTTGTAGATATACAATCTTTGTTCTATAATATGTGTGATTTTTCAACTAAAGGAATTGAAAAAAATGGTTCGATGAAAATGGTTACATGATTTCTTTCTAAAACTCTAGTTTTTTACTATTGTTTATTTTTTAATTTCTCTTCATCTATTTCATTATTTTATTCTGATTTTATGCATTTTTTTTAAAGAAATATAGTATAATTCCTTCATTTATTGACATGTATTGTTGTAAAATGTAAACAGGGAAAGTTTCTAGTTGATTTAGCTTGTCATGGTGATAAGTTGTTCCAAGTAGTGTTCAAGGAAAGGTAAGTAATCTGGGACAACTAATCTTTGTTTTCCCAAATTGTAATCCAATCAAGGCTTCATGAATTATTAAATTATAATTTTTTTTTACTGTAGCAACAAGAACCATTGGTGTGATCAGTAAAATCGATCAGGCATCTTCAGATCCGAAAGTTCTTGCTGCTGTTCAGGCACTTCTATTGGGTCAAGGACCAAGGAGTTCAACTAATATCCCTTGGTTTGCTCTTATTGGGCAATCAGTTTCCATTGCTTCAGCTCAATCTGGAAATGTGGGGTCAGATAACTCATTAGAAACTTCTTGGAGGGCTAAAAGTGAAAGTTTCAAATGTGGTGCTTTTAATTAGTTTCATTTCTAACTTCCATTTTGTGGGCATCGACTAATGATGTGGGGACCACAAAGTAAAGTCGAAAAATGAAACAAGATTTGGCTAAATTAATCAGCTCACTATTGAATTACCTTTAACTGACTTATCTTTTGAAACATGAAGCCTTGAAATTACAATTATGAGACCAACAGAGCATGAATTGATCTCCAAGAAGCCTGCACAAAACCTAAAGGTTTGTTCTTTTCTTTATTTCATCTTAATGTATAAATTCTTTTTAGAAGGCCATACATATGCTTCTCATGACAATAGAATAATTATAATCATGGTGTGTGTTTTTAAAGGATAAGGTCATAAGATAACTACGTACTTTTTGATTTGTCCAACTTAGGTCTCTATTCTTTTTTGGACAAATTACAAGAAATAACAATGCACTTCACTATAATATAGATTATAGGTGATGCACTTTACTTTTTTACCCATGTTGGCAATCTATAATGTTGATGAGAATACAAGACGAGACACGGAAGAAAGTCAAATATGCTTTTTTGATAGATACATAAAAAATAGTTAGATTGGACTAAATGGGACAAACGCATATCATGTTGCTTCCTATTTTATAATGTATTTGTTGTCAATCTTATAACCTTGCAAAGGAATATTGCTTTTCGGGCCTCCTGGAACTGGGAAAACACTTCTTGCAAAAGCACTTGCAACTGAAGCAGGAGCTAACTTTATCAGCATAACTGGTTCCACACTTACATCCAAGGTACTCTACTTTCATTTCCACCCAATCCATAAATAATTAAATACCAATGTATCTACTTAATTAGATATAGCAACACACTTACATCTCTATTCTCTACACATAAATAGCAACCTGTTCACTGATAATAGCAGCAAAGCAATATGTAACAAATAAAACTACATTACTTACTCAGGTAGAAATTAGGTTGCTATTATTGGTAAAAAAATATGTAAGTATGCTATTATTATAATTTATATATATGGGTAAAAAAGTTATTACATTGTTGTTATGTGTAGTAAGAAATTGTATTGTAATAAGAGTAATGTAGGCATTCATAGCATTGAAAGCGATAAGCAGGTTTGTAGCTTTCTAGCGTTAAATGCAAAAAGTGGCAATGTACTTTTGTTGATTAGTAATTCTTTTTATCATGTGTGTGTTTTGTGTAGTTTTCAACAGGAAAACCAAAGAATAAGGAGAGTAATAAGTTTGGTAACCTGAGATTCTTTTTGTCAAATCAAAAAGAAGCAAATAAATCAGGTTTTCATCCAACTAAAAGGCAACATATAGGTGAAGGTAAAAGTGTATCTATTAACAACAACAACAACAACGACAACAACAACAATGCTCATTAGTCTCAGACCCTCTTTCTTTCAGCTTCTAGAATAAAAAACTCAGTGGAAGCAAATCAGTAAAATAATTTTATTTTGTTTTTGTTTTTTTTTTAATATTATGTTTTCTGATCCTCACCCAAAAGTACCAAGAGCCTTCTAATATTTAGTTATTATTTGTAAAAGGTATATGAATGATCTCACAAATCATATGACAACTTATCTGGCAAGAAAGACATCAAGACTATTTCTCAGCAGCCAAATGTTATTCTCGCTGTAAGAGAAAAAACTTAATCTTTCATTAAAACTCAAAAACTATTTAAACTAAATCATGGATTTTTTTTGTAGGTGACTTGTTTATTGGAGAGACTTCGAGGAGTTTCAAGTGCTTCAGAACCACGTTCACAGAAGGTAGTTTATGAGATGAGATTTTCAGTAATGCAATCAATTCTTAAATTTATTGAGGTTTAAAAGGATGAGGTATTACCCTTATTATCATTTATTATTGAGTCTATATATTGTTTCCATATACTAATTTTATGATTTTTTTTTCTAGTCTGTAGTTGTGTATTTATTGCTTAAGCTTGTTGTTGACTAGGTGGAGGAGCAAATCATCTACTTAGAGCCTCATGAGATTGCAATGGTCATTGACTTTTGTATGCATCTGCTTCAACTTTTATACATACATGTTCCTGTTCATTAAACATGTTCCTGTTCATTAAACCAAAGTATTTATGGTGTCAGGTTACTTCAATAAAAACTTGTAGTTGGTATTGACCATTGACTATTGATTGACTTACTTTTTTTATGATTGATATAGAGTCAACTGGTAGGGAAATTGTTAATTTTTCAAAGTAAAACAAAGGGTTGATTGAATGAGAGAAAAGAAAACACCAACACTCCATGGCTAATAAGAATAAAAAAATAAAGATATGAGGCAAAAAAGGTAAAACAAACTCGTATGTATGAATATGATTTGTATGGTAATTAAATTTATAGTGTATGTATGTTTTGCTTTGCATGCAGTCATTGTTTGGCAGCTTGGACAAACTTTGTAGCACCTGATCATCCATGCCACGCTTGGTAAAACAAATTTATAGTGTAATTCTTCCATTCATGTTAGTAATTTCTCATTATGATGTGTTGTTTCTTGTGCGATTTTATTTTTAGGATGTATTTTACTTTATTAAATGTTTAAAGTTACAGGACATGAGTATGGGCACATAATGGAACATTTTAGGGCAGTTGTTGGTGATCTATCAATGAAGTGGCCAACATTGTGTAATAACATTTTAGGGGAAGATGTAGGTATATGTTTTTTTAACGAATAATGTAATCATATGTATGAATATGAAATAAAGTTTGTTATTTGTATGACAATAAATTTTATGAAATGGATTGTGTTTTTTGTATATGGTATTTTATTTTCTGTTATGAGACATTAAATGCAAATTTAATTTGAAAATTAGTAAATTTGTAAATAATATTTTTTTTAACATTGAAAATTATGATATGCAAAAATGTGTGTCATCTTCATTTATGACATGGACTTTCTTGACAGGGGCTTCCTTGATATGCATTCAGTTTCATAAACACACGCGTCGTAAGGTTACGACACGCAAAAGCGTGTCGTCTTGCTTTATGACATGACCTTCCTTGATATGCATTGCATGTCATAACCGTGCGTCGTAAATGCGCGTCGTTTATAGACGACGTTCAAAAGCGCGTCGTCTCTCTTTATGACAGGGCCTTTTTTGACGGGCATTTGCGCGTTGTCTGAGCATTTTACAACGCGCAATGAGCGTCGTAAAAGGCTGTTTTTCTAGTAATGTTAGTTGAATTATGGAATATGTGGAGTCCCTTTGATGCATAGACATTAGATCTGGACCGTAAGAGGTCCAGAGAGTCCCAATAACCCAACTTTATGCAGTCACATGAGAGTATTGAGCTTAAGATACCATTATAAGGGTTATTTTATCAAATAGAGCTAGATGTGTGGTGCATGGACATCATGATTGAACCTTTACGTGACTCTTGGGTGCTAGGAGATCAGATCTATAAGTTAGACAAATAGATATAACCTCAGAAGGTCATGTGAGTATTACCATGAAGGAAACTCGTCGAGTCCATAAAAGGACTCGACGAGTCAGATCGTATTGCCTCGTGATTCGTGACCAGTGGTAAACCGTCGAGTTGGGAGGTTAACTCGACGAGTCGAGTGGGGCCTTAGGAGGATTCAGAGGATACGCATGAACTTGCCGTTTCACACGATTGCATTCGGCGAGTCTGGTCAATTGGACCGTTGATTGGAGTTGACTTTAGTTGACCTTAGGGTTTGGCCAAACTGAATGAGAGGGGTCAGGGAGGGGTAGAATGCTCTTCTACCCATTCTCTAGAGATGAGGATGTAAGGAGAGTATTGATTAGAATTATTATTATTGTGCTAGGTGGAGGCTAGATCGAGGATATCGAGCACAAGAGTGTACTAGACATCTTATGAGGTGAGTCTTCTCACTATACATTACCTAAAGTGGTATCTATGTGCAGACCGGAGGGTCATATGTATTATGTGCTTGCTTGAAATTATGTACATTGTGATTTATGTATGCTATGTGGACCGGAGGGTCCAATGACTTATGAGGCCAGAGGGTCCTTAACCAGACCGGATCGAAGGGTCCAATGATTTAGACTGGACCAGAGGGTCCAACGATCTAGACCTGACCGGAGAGTCCAACCAGCTACGGGACTGGAGGGTCCCGCTGAGACACATTAACCGAAGGTTCTTACCGAGTTATAGCCTCGAGTGGCTTATGTGTTGTATGTGGTACTTGGGGGAACTCACTAAGCATTTATGGTTACTGTGTTAAGTGATATGTGTTGTGTGTGAATCTTATATTTGGATCTACATTCTAATCATCAAATAATACAAGATTCATCAAAAAACTTGTTGGATCAATTTAGAAAAGAAAGTTATAAACCAAGGGGGAGATTGTTGGGTCAAAAATATGGTTTATACTTTGCTTTTCTAGGAAATTGTATTTTTATGTAATGTTTATGAGTTTACGTTCAGATGGTCTGTTTACGGCCGTAAACGCATTTACGACTGTAAACCCATTAGGCCCATATTCTCCAAGTATAAATATAGGTGTAAGGTGTGAGGAGTAGAATTGATGAACAGAAAAGGAGTGTACGGCCTAGAAGAGAGAGAGAGAGAGAGAAAGAGAGAGAGAGAGAGAGAGAGAGAGAGAGAGAGAGAAAAGAGTGTGTTTTGTGTGTGAATCTTGTATTTGGATCTACATTCTAATCATCAAATAATACAAGATTCATCTTCTTCTTCTTCTTTTCATTCTCTTCTATTTTGATCTGGCATCATCCGTTTGATTGGGATTCCGCACCATCAAACGGATCTGATTGATACACAAACATTTTGGGGACTTACAGAGGGAGTTCTCACACACTCTCAACAGAAGGCGAAACAAGCTGCTTTATTGTCTCAAGTAGAATTCTGCATGTTTAATTTGTTTGTCTCCAAAATTGAACCGAAAACGGTAAATGCTGCTCTTGATCACTCTGATTGGGTGCAAGCTATGCAAGACGAACTTGATGAGTTTGAACGAAATCGTGTTTGGAGGCTGATTCCCACACCAAAGGATGCATTGGTAGTCGGTTTGAAATGGGTTTTTAGAAATAAATTAGATAAAGAAGGCAACGTAATTCGCAAAAAAGCGAGGCTCATGGTGAAAGGATATTGTCAAGAAGAAGGAATAGATTATGAGGAAACCTTCTCTCCTGTAGCAAGGTTGGAATCAGTGAGAACTTTCTGGCATATGTTGCCCATAAAAACTTCAAAGTTTTCCAAATGGATGTAAAATGTGCTTTCTTGAACGGAAAACTAGAAGAAATGGTTTATGTTGAACAACCACCCGGATTAGTGAACGAGAAGTATCCTAGTCATTGCTACATTCTGGATAAAGCAGTCTACGGCTTGAAGCAAGCCCCAAGAGTCGCGTATGAAACTCTATCATGCTTTCTCAAAATGTCAAAATTCAAACAAGGTTCGGTTGACCCAACCTTCTTTCGCAAGAAAGAGGGCGAACACTTAATGATAGTTCAGATTTATGTCGATGACATCATCTTCGGCTCCACGAATCCTAGCATAATGGCTTAATTCAGGAAGTTGGTGGAGAATAAATTTGAAATGAGTACAATGGGTCCAATTAACTTTTTCCTTGGACTGAATATTAAACAGAGACCAGAAGGCATCTTCATTGATCAAGAAGCTTCCACGAAGACTCTATTGGTGAAGTTTGGCATGACGGGAGATTCCAAAGTAAAGGTTCTAATGGCATTTGGCACGAAGCTGACGCCATCTCTTGAGAAACCAGTTATGGATATGACTCTCTATCGTCAAATGATAGGGTCACTAATGTATCTAACGACTAGTAGACCGGACACAATGTTTTCTATCTGTTATTGTGCCAGGTTTCAAGGAAATCCAAGAGAACCTCATATGGTTGCAGTGAAAAACATCTTCCGGTATTTGAAGCGAACCTCATCTCTCGGTCTCTGGTATCCTGCTAAATTTGGTTTCTTTGTTCAAGCCTTTTCTGACTCTGATCTAGTTAGGTGTGGATTAGACCGAAAGAGCACAAATGGTGGATGCTAGTTCCTTGATGGCAAACTTGTCAGCTGGCAATCAAAGAAACAAACATGTGTGTCTCTTTCCATAGCCGAAGCTGAGTACATCGCTGCAGCATCATGTACATCACAAATCATTTGGATACAAAACCAACTTAGATAAGTATGAAGAAGATTCCCCTCTATTGTGACTCTGAAATTGCGATTCGAATATGTCACAATATAGTGCAACACTCGAAGACTAAACATATTGCACTAAGATACCACTTCATTAAGGACCATAATGAAGATTGAAATGTTGAAATTCACTTCGTTCGGTCGTCAGATCAACTGGCTGACATCTTCACTAAGGCCTTACCATAAGCGAGCTTTAGTAAAATTCTACAAGGCTTGGGAATGATGGAAGCTGAGTCGGTACCGAAACCTCTTCCGTTTCACTAAAAATTTGGAGAAGCGAAATAGAGCGAACACTTAGTCTATTTCGGTTCCGGAATTTTCGAGGACCGAAATGAACCACGCTCGGCCCATTTCGCTTCATCTTTATGAAGTTTAGTTTCAGTTGTGTGTTTTGTATATCTTGTCTATCTTTTCGCTTACCTTTTGTTTCTCTTTTATTTTCATTTCAAAAACTCCAAAAATATTTTATTTTCTGTTTTTATTATTTTTCAAAAATTCCTATTTTATTTTCTATTTTTATTATTTTTCAGAAATTCCAAAAACTCCAAAAATATTTTATTTTTTGTTTTTATTATTTTTCAGAAAAATCCAAAACTACAAAAATATTTTCTTTTTGTGTTTCGTTCGTTTTTGTTTCTTTTCTTTCTTAGGCTTGATGATCACAACTGTTACATCATGTGGAGCTAGGGATGTATATCTCTTTTTATCTATGTACTAGTTAAGAGTCCCTGGAAGCATGGTATTGTATGTAGACCAAAGCCTCCTAAAATCTAAGTGAAGCCTTAATGATTCGATCTACACCTATCGTTTCTTCCCAATTAGGCTGCTAAATTCACTCAAGTCACGAGCTACCTTACTCTTCTCACAGTGAGTTAAGAGTATTCTGCTTTGTCATTCTTAAGTAGCAGAGGTACTTTCATCTCCTTAACCAACTCATTTTTCTCCATCGCATTTCGCTCCACAATCGTAACCCTTGAGACTCTCAACAATTAGCATTGAGGTTTATGTTTACACAACATTTGTGTTGATGATCTTAGATACATTCACCACGTGCTGAGTGAGACCCAAAATCAAACACCTTGAATGAATTGACGGTGAATGCTATTACTTGTTACCTTGATGGAATCTCTTTTTTAGTTTTGAGTGGTCTTTATAAAATTGTCTAAAACTAAGACATTTCTTCCCATAAGATCCAGATTCATTTTTGTTTTTGATATTTCTCATAATCACCTACTCACTTTATATTTTATCAAACCTACTTGTTCAACAGGCCACATTGGTATCACAAGTACTGCATCCTACTTTCGGTCTTATTTTAAGTATCGAAGTTCGGTTGAAGATAAACCGCCCAATAAGGCCTTTACATGAAAAGATGCATTTCAATGTTTCTTAACAAACATTTGATTGTGTTTCACGGGAAACCACACAAACACTTCTCAGTCTCTCTTGACTTTGATAGAAGAGATTCATGCCCATGATCATTCGTTTCATGTCTTCAAAGACATCACTTATATCCCACACACATCTTGCTTTATTTCTTTTTCTTTGGCACACTCTTGCACGGAGATCTTTATCATTTTCCAAACTCTTGTTTGTGGTACTAATGGAACTTTTCAGATTTATGCTTTTGGTTCTAATAGCAAAGGTGGTTCACTTTCTTATGGAGGAGCAAAGGTTGTTTAACATGAAGAGAATGACCGAGTCTTGTTCGTAGTTGGTTGTACTTGACTTTGAGGCATTTTCAAAATTGAGGAGACGGTAATTGGATAAGAATTCCACATGGGATAAGAATTGGGCATGTGAATTTGAAACGGTTCGTATACCCACGCCTGCTGACCTAAACCTAGGAATACCAAGATGTCAAATCGTGCTTTTTAGGCGCCGTTTCAAAGATCGTATCATCATCACAACAAATACTTTCTCTCTCCAGGCAACTGTATAAAAGGGGGTTCTCATACCTACTGTACCTCCTTACCTTCTTCAACCTCTCTCGAATACAATTGTTCATTTTCTTCTTCACTACAACAATGGCGGAATCATCCTCTCTTCAAGACCAAACAACTTCATCATCTTTGCTTACGATAAAACCCAATCAGAATCTGATCAACAACTGAACCCTTTTATTTATGATTCATATATGCTTCACGTTGTAGAATGTCTCAAGTATTCTCCTTTGGTGAATTCTCTTACGCAAGTCGAATCAGTTCCCATGTCCCTTCTATCATAGGTCTATTCCACGGCTTCATACAATAAAAACAAAGAACAGATCTTCTTTGATATCTTTAATCACAAGACCTCTGTATACAAAACACACATTTTTCACTACTAGGGCTTGCTACAGATGCTTCTGTCATCTTTCCAGATTTCATCACAACATCTCAATTGTTTTCGATGTTCTATGAGATGGGATACAGAGATGTTCTTACTATGGTGATGAAATTCAAGAAGTCATGTTTTCCACCTCAATGGAATGGTCTTTTCATAGTAATCTACAAGGGGTTAGCATAAAGGGTTGCAGGGTCAAATGGGGCGAGTAAAGGTTTCATTACCATCCTTTCTGGTCTATACAATGGAATCCATTTGGATTATGGATCTTTAATCTAGTCACAGATGGTGCAGAGCCTCAACTCCTCATGTAAATATTCTGAGATCTCATGTCTTCTGTTGCTACTTTTCACACAACTAAAATTATTTTTACTGACCGAGCAAAGTTCATGTATGTTGGTTCTATTGTTGAATCGATGAGCCGACGTGTATCTATTGAAAGTAAAGTCATGGTGGATTATAGGAAATTGACACCTTCGGGTCCATTCCAACTCACTCCCGAGATGCAGAGTGCTTTGGATGTTGTGGATAAACCTGCCAAGAGGGGGAAGAAACCAGAATCTAAGAAAGCCGAGACCGAAGGTCCCTCATCTCCTAAAAAGTGTAAGGCTGATAAAACTGCACCTTCGGCTCCCAAAAAGAAAAAGGTCAAGAAGATGGCCAAGCGACCGAAGGCACCTTCGCCTACTGATTCCAATGAAGAGGAGCAATCAGTTGAGGAAGAAGAGGAAGTTCAACATGAAGTCTAACCAAAGGGCAACACTCCTCCTCGATCTCTAACTCCTCAGGTACAGAATGATGTTCCTACTCCTCCTCCTTCTCCAAAAAAACCACAGTACCAATCACAATTGCTCCCATTCCACCACCTGTCACTTCTCAAGCTACAACAACTAGACCTTCGGTGAGTGTCAACATATCTGATATGGGGGCACATACCGTCACTACTAGAAAAACAACCTTTTACGACGCGCAATGCGTGTCATAAAACGCTCAGATGACGCGCAAATGCGCTTCAAGGAAGGCCCTGTCATAACGAGAGACGACATGCTTTGCTTGAGACTATGCACATCAACAAGACCTACAAATTTGAATAATGCAACCATTAGATTCACATAAACCAACAAATCCCAATATGTAAAAATAAGCCAAAAACCAAAAATAACTTGTTGAATCCACTACATGCAATGTAAATTTGTATTAAGATCATTGATTATAATGTCATATAACTTTTATAACCTGCATGCAAGTGTAAAATCGCACTTGTGATTGTAGACGTTGATAGAATTATAAGGCAAGGAGGGAAACCGATTGTTGTGACGAATCTAGTACAATAGGGGAATTTGAAAACCTCTTGAAGCCACTACATTGCAATGTAAATTTGTATGTATTTATAAGAATCAAGAAGAATTACTCAGTGCCCAGAAGTCAACTTGGAGGCCCAACACCTATGCAATGGCTTCATGATCTTATTCATTCAGGGACTAGATACAACCTAATGTTTTTTTGCTTAAGACAATTTCCTTTCTGTCACTACTAGAAAAAAGGCCTTTTACGACGCTCATTGCGCGTCGTAAAACGCTCAGACGACGTACAAATGCGCGTCAAGGAAGGCCCTGTCATAACGAGAGATGACGCGCTTTTGTGCGTCGTCTATAGACGACGCGCATTTACGACGCGCATTTATGACACGCAATTACGACGCTCATTTATGACACGCAATGCGTATCAAGGAAGGCCCCGTCATAAAGGAAGACGACACGCATTCGCGTGTCGTAACCTTACGACGCGCGTGTTAATGACACGCAATGCGTATCATTAAACCCGTTGTCAAGAAAGGCCATGTCATAAATGAAGATGACACACATTTTTGCGTATCTTAATTGTAAATTTAATATATATATATATATATATATATATATATATATATATATATATATATATATATATATATATATATATATATATAGATTTACTAATTTTCAAATTAAATTTGCATTTCATGTCTCATAATAGAAAATAAAATATCATATACAAAAAATACAATCCATTGCACTAAAGTTAATGTCATACAAATACTCATTCTAATATTAGATAAATGTAATACATCAAATGTGAAAGAGATGAAAGTCTTCAACAAATAACAGTTGAGCTAAAAAATACTTGTTGCCCACCTTCACAACATCTCAAGCTACTTTGCTTGTCACTATGGACGTCAACAAGACCTACAAATTTGAATAATGCAACCATTAGATTCACATAAACCAACAAATCCCAATATGTAAGCATGAAATTTATGCATCTATGTTAAAGGGGTAAAATGGTCATTTACAATTCATTCAGAGCAAAAAAAGAACAACTTTTTTCATTTACTACTTACTTCACCATACAGACCTCATTTATCTCAACAAATGCATCATACTGATTATGGCATCGTTAGATAAGTTAAGTGACTAAGTTAAGTAGGTAACTAATGAGATATAAAACCGATGAAATGACTAAAATGCCCTTATAGTAAGCATCAGAAGAAGATTAAGTATGACTTTATAAATCGGACCAATATCAATACTTGAACATTGATCAAAAACTTACATGAGAGCAAATCCCATTTTCTCCACAACACCTTTGAGATTTTTCACCATTTTCAAGCTCAATTGGATAGTGTTTCAAGGATCCCGAGCCTCCTACTTTTTGCTCAAAGTTTCCAAGATTCTTAGCAAATGTTGGACCAAAAATGAAAGAAAAAAATGGTTTTCTGAATATATACTTCAATTACTAAGAAAATAGTAAGTCAAAAAACTACAAATGTTCAAAATAAGATGCTAGTAAAGCTTTGCCATAATGGTAAGATGTTATGATATACAGAGCAAATGTAAAATTCAATAAGATGCACATAATAATATTCTTATGATCTTATAAGATTTCCAAATAAGATACTAGTAAAGCTTTTGCACAATGATATAAGATGTCATGACATACAGATCGAATTTCAAGATTCAATTAATAAAATGCAGAAAATAATATGTTTTAGGGTAAATTATAAAAAAAATGGTCCCTGAGCTTTCTGATTTTCCCATTTTTAGATCAAAATTGAAACATTTGTCAGCTTTTGTTCTTATTTTTGTTCCAATTGCAGATTCTTTTCTCTTTCCAATTCATATTTGTGTTTCCATTCTATAGCCTCAGGTTGAGCAGCAGCTTTAGCTTCTGCTGCTTCTCTTAAAACCTTGCCAACTGCTTATGAGTGACATAAACCACAAGGATCAGACACGAACCTTATTATCAACAAAAGCATCCTACTTTTATTTCACCCAAATGAAGCAATCATACTTCTCATGGCTATCGAAAACTCCACCAGTTGATCTTCAATCCCATCAACAAGTGGAAGTGGTTGATCATCAATTTCTTTTACAACTTTCTCTAAGTTTCCAAGAGGAAGGAAATCATTTACACCATTCTCATGTACAAGATTATGTGCATTCACCTGTTCAAAATTGAATGAAAATTCGAAAGAGAGTAAGTATAAAATAGAGAAAAGGGCTCTACAAATGTTAAAAGGAAACACATATACTTGAGCCTATCATAGCATTACATAAATATTCAGCCATATTTTGAAATTAATGCTTCAAGACATATTATTGAAACATTCAGCCATCTTTTGAACGTAATACTCAAATTCTATTTATAGCATTTCCTGTTAATAAAGAATTTGAAACTTGGCAGTACCTTTTTGTGGTTATTGTGGGATTTCTTACCTGTACCCATCTTGTAAGGTCTATAACACAGGGCCAATAACCAATTCAAACTTTTCCTTTGTTAAAACTACACAAACTACATCACCTAAAGCAACAATATGTAAAGAATCAACGTATTCACCAAGAAGTGTCCGTTCTCCAAAATACCCCCCTTCACTGAACATTGCTATGTCATAACCACAACATGAGAAGCACCATCTGTCATAACCACACAAATATTTTCAACTGGGAATCCAATCAAAAAACCCTTGCACATATACAATTAAAAGAAGTTGAGTTTTTTTATAAAAAGATATAAAGGTAATAAAACAAACAGAAGTATGATTAATAATAATAATAACACTTACGAATTGGCAGCTTCCTTGAAACATTTCTCAATGTGAGGGATAAAATTGAAGGGTATAGCCTGTCCTATTATCATGTTCTCAAATTCAAATTTCGTCTCTGATTCAGCTGGCAGTGGCTTTATATACCTATCATTTTTTTAAAGCAAAATATTAAGAAAAAACAGATCTGGATTGTATAAGCAATTGACCTGAGAAATTACCAACATGAAACCATTAAAACTGAAGAGAAATTTGATAGAAAAAAGTATAGTTGAGTATCAAGAATTCAAGATTATGTCCCCTTGAAATGTTGGTGCTTTTAAGCAAATCAAGAAGCATATCAGAGTTACTGTAATAAAGTAACTTGTCAACAACAGATAGACACCCATAACAGATATATAAATCCACCCCAGAATCAACAACCTGTTCAGAAATGAGAAGAAAAGAAAGGGTATATCAGGGAAATTGTAAAAGTTAGCAAGAAATCAGCACAACATGATTGACAAATGATAACCAACCTGGATCAAGACATGTAATAAATCATTCCCAAATTTCTCTACAAGATCAAGATGTGTCACCAAGAAAGCTTCTTTTTCTGCAGCTAATGGAACTTCTTGATTTCTGGATACAACGGGTAGAAGTTGAATCAACAACTTCAAAACTTCATGCATTTGATTATAATGTCCATCAATTGTTCGAGGGGAAGGGACTCCATGTGAAAGGTCATATATTGAAAAGATCTCTTTCAAAATGCTACATATATTAAGATCAAAAAGTGTCTTCACAGCCACCATAGAACCATAAGTAAGTTTAACAAGTAGTCCAATTAAACCCTACATAAAAATACACAAGAGTTCTTAAAAAAGATTGGAAAAAAAATTGCTAAAAATAGAAGAAGATGGACATACGGTATGAACAGAATAAGATAGAGTGGTATGGTTGATCAGGTCTATAAGATATGCCACTTGATGAATCAATCCATGTTTAGAAAGTTCAACAAGCATTTCACTGGATTCTTGTACTCTTTCTACTATTTTAATTAAGCATGTAGCAACATGTTCAACAAGCTGCAATCGCAAGAATATGTCAGTAAAGTACAAATGATTATAAGAAAGACCATAATTATATTTATACCTGATTGTCTTAGCTGCAATCACAAGAATCAGAAGATGTTGAAATCAATGAGGTTTTTGAAGCTTCTAGAGCGATCTGCCTTAGCTGGAGTAAAGCCTGCACATATTCAATTTTTTTATTAATTAAGTAAAATGACATAAGGGTATATTTGGAAACGTTATGGATTTAAAATGTTGTATTACCATCATTGTTGTTTTTTTGAGCGAGAACAGTTGGAGATCATATAAAGGACGCAAGACTTTAGGTACCCTCCATGCCTAATGAATGATATAATAAAGTAATTTAGAATATAAATGGAGTTTAAATATGAATATATTTGAATCTAGATATAGTATATAGTAAAATGACATAATGATATAATAAAGTAATTTAGAATATAAATGGCTGCTTACCTCTACATTAACTTTGTCAAAAAGCTCAAGCTTAAGATCATACTCATGCTGACCAGCTGAAGCAGATAATGTAAAAACACCTTCAGGAGCAAGATTCACTTTTTCATCTTTTGTATCCGCCAATAAAACTGTGATATAAAATTTATCCTCTCTCTGAGCCCACTTAATTTCTGGATGACGACTACAAAGCTCAATATATTTTTGAATTTATTAGGATACACCAATCATTGAACAAAGCACAAGCAAGCATAAATATGTAAAACTAAATAAATCAACTGTTTTCTAATTCCCACCATTGCAACACAGAGAACCCAATTCTTGTGCCCTGAATAGATATGTAAAAATATAACAATTTGTTTGGCTTTTGTGATTATGAAGTTATGATAACAACCATCATATTCACTACAGGGAACTTGGCTTCAGTGAAACTGTATACCACTTACGATTGTGAACTGAAAGAGCAGAATCTGTAACTGCAAATTGAGTAGAAAGAATAACAGATATTTTATGAATCAAAATTGTGTTTACAAAAGACAGAAGCAGTATAAGAAGAAGAAATCAGAATAAAATTGTACCTAAGTGTTAAGGAGTGAGCCAGTGACCGGAGAAACCGCCTGAAGGGGCTACCAACGCTGTGAGATGATAGAATCGACAGATGACGTGATTCTCTCATCTGTATGAACTCAAAAAGAAACAAACGTTACCTCTGTTTTACATTTTCCAAACCAAACATTGTGGATTCGTCATTGGATCAATCGAAGTGCACATACACAACATTTATGAAAAAACCCTAAGTCGCCGGTGTCCTAGTCGATAACTTGTACCAAAAAACCCTAAATCGCTATGAGAGAGGAGTGAGGCCTGAATCACTTTCATTGAGATGGGATATCTTGAAGAAGAGATGTATAGCGGTCTGATAGGGTGGGGATTCTATTGTTCGTGTTTTTTTTGTTGTCAGATATCTGCGTCTACTGATTCTTGGTGACCGGCAAAGGAGGTGACATTGAGGGTGGATGGCCGGTGGGTTTTGATCGGAGTTGACAGAGAATAGCGGGTACAGACCTAAAACTGAAACCAAGCTAGTAGCATCAAGGCGAGTATCAAACCGAGAAGGAGAAATTAGGTAAGAAATCTTCACACATAGACAAGAACAGAAAACCCTTACACTGGGTAATCGATGTAGAATTATGGTTTGATCAACATCCGAGTAGATTACAATAACTACATTCTATAAAACAATCAGAAATTGGGGGCTTATAAGGAAAAAGAAACTCCTCAATTGAGTTGTAACACTCGAGTAGCTGTGAAACCATTTAATCCGAACAAAATTATGTTAATTACACAATTGTCTCTCAGGTGGGTGTTTGAAACCATTAGGCAGGATATCGTCGTCGGCCCCCTTTCGGCAACTGTACAACCCATCAATAGCATAACTAAATAAAATTATAGGATTGGTGATGATATTAGGGTTTTTTTGGGTATTAGAGTGATATATATATATATATATATATATATATATATATATATAGAGAGAGAGAGAGAGAGAGAGAAAGAGAGAGAGAGGGAGAGAGAGATAGAGATGGAGATAGATAGAGAGAGAGATAGAAAAGAAAGATGGAAATAAGGAAGAGGATAACAATGGCGGCCTTTCAAACTTTTGGCATTTTCGTTTCCCCCCGCTGCAAAAGAAGAGAGCGCGCCTTTCAATAAAAAAATATAAAGCGACATTCCTAGACGACACCCATTTTTAAATCGGTGCCCTCCGTGTTTTTAATTTTTTTTGTTGGACAATAATTTTAGGGCACGCACAAAAGCGTGTCTTCTATCCTTCAAATTTTAGAAGATATGACATTATTTTTAGGGCACATGCTTTTGCGTATCGTAAATCACCGCGTGTCATTGTTTGCACGTCATTAAAGGGCTGTTTTCTAGTAGTGTGTAAATATTAAAAGGTTATCATTTTGTTAACAGGTCAAAAGAAATGAACCTTTTCTCTTACTATTTTCTCAGCTCCAAGATGTTTCACTTTGAAGGCCCACGAAAAGATTTTGATGAGGTTTTGTTAGCTTTGTCAAAGCTTGACTTAAAAACTAATGGCAATCCAAGTCTACAAAAAAAAAAAAGAAAGCAACATGATTTGTCTTATATCTGTCAAACTCAAGCATATATGCTTATTTACATATTACAGATATAAGAATAAAGAACATACTTTGAAGTGATAGCCTTGATTTGTTTGGCCATATGTAAAATATGTTCTTCAGATTCAATAACATTGGGACCAGCTAGCACAAAGAATGGTTGTGCTCTTTGTAATGGTTGTAGCAATGAGTCATTAAGCTTAATGCTTGTTAAGAAACCTACTTCAAACTTAGATCAACGAACAAGGTAAGATAAATCTGTTAAAGGCCATTCTAAAAGACATTTACTATTAGTCCAAATGATTGTTCTATAATTTATTGACCTTTTCCAGTCATATCTTTTGTCTCTTTTCTATACTGGCCTATACATTCAACCATCAATTTCCTTAAAATGGATCAACAATTCATTTTTTGGAAATAATTGTCTTCTAATATCCAATTATTAATTCATTTCACATATCTCAGCCACTCGTGTATGCAGAAAGACTCAATTGCCCTTATTATGTGAGATACTCATATTTCTATCAAGTATTGTTTAGTTGTAAACTTATAATATAATAACACCATAAGCCATTAACATGGAAACATTAACTTATGATGATAGTTTAACCTGAAAATGTCTCTGTGAAGAAAAAAGAAATTTTCCTTGCAGCCGACTCACATGAATTGAACCATGAACTCAATTCCACTCCAAATCCTGCGTACACATGGCCCTGATGTTATACAAGACAAAAATTTAAATAACAACACACCACCATGGAAGGTAAAAACTTTCATTAGTTAGTTGCGTCAGTGACACAAAATTTTCAGGCTTGAATCACAAGAATACAATATGATATGACCACGCCAATCAACAATAGCATTAGCTTTTTGCAAATCCATTATTAACACTGGACCACTGATAAGTAACAAGTTATAAAGATCATAAGGCCATGGGTTAATTTTAGCATCAAATATACTAAATTGGCAACCATTTTTACTCTAGTGGACCTGATGGTAGATTAGATATACTATAGTTTATCAATAGTAAATAATCAACAACACAAAGGGCTTCACAAATTTTCAAATTTTTAACTGGGCATAAATGCTATAAATGGAAATCCCTCTTAATAAATAATCGCAAGAAGTGAGTCATACTGCTTAATCAATGTGGTTCAGATTGGATCAAAAGTCAGCTGAATACATAAGTAGAAAATATATGATATTTTCTGAGCATGCTAGTTTGATTTCCTAGTGTGTTGAGTCATTTCCTCACATAGAAAATAAAGTAGTACCACATAGAATTCTTCTATGAATCTCAGTATTAAGAAGTAAAAGGTATTATTGAAAAGAAAATAAGTAGAGAAATAGGATTTATGTTACAATAAACCATACTTTCATAAATACAGAGACTACCAAGATTAAGAACAATCAGTTTAGACTGTAACAAAAAGTCTGTTGAAATCACCCTGTGAAAATCAATAACAAATTTAAAAAAAAAAACATTTCTATTATGAATATAAAAATGTTATTTATTTTAACTAAGTTTAACCTTGGAAAAAATCTTACACAACAGATAAAAAACTCAAGAATTTGTAATATTCACATGAAAACTCAAGGAGACACTTAACATGTGTGTACATAGAACAGATTTGGGAGTTTTTTTTTGGTACTTATAGCAGATTTTATAAATTTTACAGATGTGACTCAACATGAAACTTCAAATTGTGCACAATGAACTAAAATAAGTAATGTTCAACCACAAAGCATCAAAATAAGGATGGAGAAAGATTTGGGAAAAAACTAGGATTAAAAGAGAAAAGGGAAGAATATATATACCAGCAGAGTGCAGCGACAGAGGTGGTAGCGTGGAGCAATGGAGGTGGCAGCGAGGAGAAAAGGCCGGTGAAGAGTGAAGGCCAGAAGGGACGTCGGAGGCGATAGCAAGAGGGAGGAATAAAGAGGCACAATCAATGAAAGGGAAGCAGATGAAGGCGTGAGAATAAAATGCAGGTTAAATATGTATTTAGGATACAAAAGCGTTACTTTTAGGTCTGTTAGGCAAAGTGGTCAAAAAGTCTTTTTTGGAGTATTTTATATTCCCAAACACACCCTAAGTCTATAACGACACACCACTCATAAAAGTAAATCCTGTAAAGGTGGAAAAGTTTAAATCAAATAACTAGAAATGATTCCTAAAAATAAGCTTAACTACAAATGTTATAGATACCAACCTCTCATCCTGAAAGAAACAAAGCACGCAATAAGATAGTAGTAGAGAAAGTCATATGATCACGTACAAATAAAGTTCTACAACTTGACTTGATATACATACACTTGTCAGGTACCAAGCAGATCTTCTCTTCAACCTAAAAAAAGTTATAAAATCAATAAAAATTTGAGAAAACTATTTTAAAAGGTAAAGATTACTCACAACCACAAGGGTAAAGAATGTAATTACCTGTAGTTTTGTTATCAATCCCTTTTTCTCTTCTTCAAATTCTATAATCTAAAGATCATTAAAAAAATAAATATAAAAACATTAAAATAACATTGGAAATCAGATTTGACAGAAAAAACACTGGAAATCCCAAGAGATGAAGAAGAAGACAGAGTAATATCGGAAACCCAATGACAAGAAAAACAATGAAATAAAAACACTGGTTCATACATTATTTGTGATTTACAGCTAAAAACTACATCTCAGTAACAAATAATCCCTAAAGAAATAGAGTATAATAAAGAGTTAAAAGATGATAGCAGACCTAGAATCCCTGCAAACCAAAGACCATAATTTTCAACCAAATAGCCAGAAACCTTCTCCACCTAGGATTAAAATGGTTAGCCATTATCACCATTACGTTGTTGACCATGAATCCCAATATTTTTCCAATTCCTCAGATAAGGAACATTCGAATGAAGTCAGATAAGGGCATAAAAACAAAATCCTCATTTTTGAAGTCCTAATGCAACTATTACAGTTCCTAGAACAGAGAAAATTAAGTTTTACAAAAAAAAAACAAATGAATAGATGAAGAGGAAAGAATGGATATTACGAGAAACCCTGATGAAAAGAAAGTGAATAATATAAAAAGAACACCGAATAAGCCTTAAATTCTTCCTTGCTGGTGTAAGATTACGTAGAATGAGAGGAGAGACGTATGTGAGAATGCAGAGAGCCCCAAATTAATATAATAAAATGATAAAGTAAGAGAAAGAAACCTAGGGTACATACATTGAGAAGAAGAGAATGATATTCAAACCTGGTGCCTCTTCCATTTTCGTTTCCTAATTTCCGATACTTCCAATCTGACCATGAACCTCCGACTTCTAATCCCAAATCTGACCTTCAACCTTCAATTTCTGATCTTTAACCTCTAACTTGAGACCTATAGTTTCGAAACCCTAGAACTGAACTTTCGACAAGGAAGAGCGGATATCGTTGTTCCGCCTGAACACGCTGATATAAAAGCGCTAATTCTTAGGTGCGCACTTGTGAGGTCTAGAACATAAAATCCGTAGTCCTTCATTGATATCGGGGACAAAAAAACCTTAAAATCACCGGTGTTTTGAGTGTGAGGAGTCGTAGACCCCAATCACCATCTCCATGAGTTCAGATCCCTGGTTGCAGAATGCGTACGAGTCAATGAGTAAAGAAAATGCATAACACCAGCCCCTATAATGGCTTACAACACTGAGAAAATGATTGGAAACATCCAAACAATTGTCATCGCGAGGCATTCGATCATGAAAGCAAAAGCAGTTCTGCTATGAAGACGAAGGCCCTAGGGCTTTTTCTTGCTAATTGGAAGAGGCGGGGGGTTTAATTTTTGGGATCCAATAGGCGGATAAAATCCCGCTTAAAACACGTGTTCCATTAAAAATTATAAAGCAACACACTTAGATGGCACACATTTTATGAAAGGCGCCCTCCGCATTTCC